ATGTCATTGTAAAGGCAGCTGCCCTAGAAAAGGAGAGAAACTGGCCAATAATTTCCTAAAAAATCCATAGAGTCAAGATTTAAACAGTTCATTTCTTTCACTAGCATACCAAAATACTTCAGTGATCATTGATGACTGTTAATTGCCTGATGGGCCTTATTCCTTAACAATATTTGGGTTTTGAGATGGTACCAGTTAACATTTGGCTCAGTTGGGGGGCAAATAGTTCTTAACAGGTAGTAATCAATAAGTAGAAGAATTGGAACCTCATGCTACAATGAAACTTTCAATAGGCCATCTATATCAAAATTGAACATACCTCTCTCAACAGAGGGGGAAGGATCTGACATAATCTATCTCCAGTCTACAACACAGTCCTTTCATCACTTCCAAGATGGTTCCACACCCATTTGCACTACTCAGGTGACCCTGAAGACATATAAGCCTCCAGGTAGCACTAATGATTTGCTAAAAGAATGCAAATGAACTGCTATCTGCAAGGAATATAAATCCTTTCATTCCCCACCATCCAGTTAGAGCTGAAGAAGCTTCTTGAATGAGAAGCAAAATGTCTTCAAAGAAAAATAAGAAAGTCCAGTTGCCTCGTGAAAAAGCATCTTTGGGATAACTATGACCTGGATGATTGAGAATCTCCATAGGTTTCCAATATTTTGTTACCTCTCTTGAAAATGTGCCAGTGCATGGAGGAGGGAAAAGTCTTGTATATATCTTCTAAACCAAAGTCCAAAACTGAGCAGAGAACCTGAAGGAGGAAGCCAAAGGGGATCAGTACCTTCCAGCACTTAGTGTAGCCATTTAGAGGTCCTATTAGTATCTTAGATTTCCTGCTGCCTGGCAGAGCAAGCATCAATAGCCACTTAAGGGATTGTTTTTCCTTGGCTGAGAAGCTTTTGCTCTACTGCTTTAGAAGATAGTTCTTGCCCTGGGAGGGGCCACAATTCAATTCCAGAGCACATGCTTTGTCTGGTGAAGCTCTTAAGTACATTCCCAGAATATTTAGTTATAAAAGACTATAGGAAGCTAAGCTGAAAAAGTAATGGTACTTCAACTCTATGGTCCACTAGTCTAAGGTAGCATTTGTCATCCTATATCTATCAAGGTTGTAGTCTTGTTATGGTGCAGTCAGTGTTGTCATATGGATAGGAAAGCTGATGCAGAAAATTTGGGAAATTAAATCTATGGAATATCTGGGTGTTCTCCTAGTTAGTAGATAAGTTTTGCTGTAGTCACAAAGACAAGCAACCTACACAAGAATGTAGCGGTTGGATATGGACTCCTTTGTGCCAAAATATGAATTTGATATATTTCACAGAAGGAAAACTACACTGTGCAGTTAAATATTCCATTAATTTTTAAAAACCCAAGCCAACACAAACTTAACTAAGAAGCCCACTCCTACACACACACACACAAACAGCAAAAAGTGATACCTGACAAGATCTATGGCAGTATTTCCCCAGCTCTCATGCTTACCAGACAGCAAAATCAGTTTTGTCTTTTTCCAGTTTGTTTTATGGTGCTCACTAGATGTGGTCAAAAAAAGTCACGTTGGCAGCCCATTGGTGCCATTGAAGCTTCACCCATTTTTATGTGCTTTGATCCCTCTGTCCTGTCCATTCTCTTGACTTTTCAACCACACGCTGCAGACCCCCTGATTAATAAATAAGAACAATGTTGTTTGCTGGAGGCATTGGATAGCAGTTTGCATGTAGAACTAGCATGCTTATATTTGGATTTCATCTTTGTCTTTAGACCTTTTGGTAGTTATAAGCCAAAATATTTGCCTATAAAGATATACATTTAAAATTGTGACTGTTGCTAATAGATGAAATATAAACTATTTGCTTTTCTTTTTTAAAACATAATTCTGCACCAGATGCTCTGGATCCTGTTGATTCCTTCCTTCTGCTCTGGAAATGCAGTTTGGTCTTTTTCAGTCATTTTCAAATTCTTCTGTGTAAATTAAGGACTAGAAACTTGTATTCTTTTCTTTTTTTAAAACCTCCTGCATACTGTGTTCTTAATAAATGTGGGCATTTGTGGTATCTGTCTTTGAA